AGTCTAGTTGGATTCTGGTATCAAATAAAGACAGAACAATAGATAACTTGACAAATCAGCTATGCTCTTATGAAAAAGCATTAACAAATAAAAATGAGAGCAAGCAAGAAGTTTTATATACAGTGAATAAGAGTAAAGCACATAAATATAGTTATTATTGCAATTACTGTAAGCAAAAAGGTCATAAAGTGAAGCAATGCGATAAATGGAAGGCCGATGGAAGGCCTCCTAAACCACAAAATTCGAAAAAACATACAAATACTAAAGCTAAAGAAACTCAGATGTCCTTAGTGGCTGTATCATCGAATGTGTTGAATTGCGAAGCAGATTTTAAAAATTGGTATGTTGATAATGGAGCTACTAATCACATAACAAATCAACAAAGTGTATTCCAATCGTATGAACCGTTTAGCGAAGAGCAAACAATAACAACAGCTAATGGATATGCAGTTGCGGCATTAGGACAGGGTACCATCAAAATACAATCTTTTGTAAAAGGAAAGAAGAAAGAGTTTTTATTGACCAACGTATGGTATGTTCCCAATATCAGGAAAAATCTTTTCTCAACTTTGTCTGCTCAGGACAAACATCCAGAAAGTGAATTTATTTCCACCACTGAGTGCTGCTATTTTAATATTTATAAAGAAACAATTATTGTTGGATCTAGATGTAAGTCTGGTGGACTATATAAACTGAAGATGCAGGCAATCAAACCTGAAAATGTGAGTGTCAGTATGGTTACTTCTAAAGAAAATATATTGCAACTTTACCACGAAAGGCTGGGTCATCAAAGCAAAAGACATGTTAAAGATGTAATTAAACAAGAATTTAACATAGATGTGAAGCTGGATAGTGAATTATGTGAGGGCTGCGTTTATGGAAAAGCTTCCGTGAAAAAGTTTGGCATAAGAAAAAGAGCAGAAACTCCAGGAGAACTGATCCATTCGGATGTTTGTGGGCCTTTCAATGTATCAAAATCCGGTTTTAAATATTATGTTTTATTTAAAGATGATTTTAGCAGATACCGATTTGTATATTTTTTAAAGCAAAAGTCAGAAGTTGCTGATAAATTAGATATTGTTTTAAAAGAAATAAAAGCTGCAGGATATGGTGTGAAAGAATTTCTGTCAGATCATGGTGGAGAATTTGATAATCATCGACTAGCAAATATTTTAAACAAATATGGAATAAAACAAAGATTGGTGATGCCGTACACACCACAACAAAATGGCTGTTCAGAACGTGATAACAGAACGATTGTCGAATGCGCAAGATCTTTAATGCATGCAAGAGAAGGTATCTTTGATCAAACATTTTGGGCTGAATTAGTAAACACAGCTACATATATCTTAAACAGATCTGGTATGTCCAGTATTCCTGGTAAATCACCACATGAAATATGGTTTAACAAGAAGCCTGAACTTAAACATTTACGAGTAATCGGCAGTACTTGTTACGCTCACGTTCCTAAAGTTTGCAGGAGAAAATTGGATAAGAAATCTATTAAAGGTATACTCGTGGGTTATGAAAATGATGATGGATATAGGATTTGGTCAGAAGAACAGCATAGACTAATACTTTCACGAGATGTTATTTTTAATGAATTTGAAACTCTCGGTGTGCTAAAAGAATCCAAACAGTTTCAAAGTTTGCAACCTACAGTAGATGTATTGGATTTTATTCAAAATAATTCTGATACAGAAGAAATAGATATAGTCGATGAAATTAGTGATAGTATGGAAGAAATGGACCCATATGACCAAGAAGAAAACCAATGTTGTGAACCAGAAGAAAGCTTAGAAGAAGATATAGAATTTAGAAGACAACTGAGAGAAAGATCAAACATTAAGAAGCCAACACGCTTTGACGAGCTCGTTATGATGGTTGCTGCTGAAATAAACGACACCAAAGAACCACTTAGTTACAAAGAAGCAATTGTTTGTTGTGAAAAAGATAACTGGAGGCTGGCAATGGAGCATGAAATGCAGTCATTAAAAGAGAATTGTACATGGACTTTGAAAAATTTACCTGAAAATAAAAAAGCAATTCCTTGTAAATGGGTGTATAAACTCAAAACCAATCCAGATGGTTCAATTGATAAATACAAAGCTCGTTTGGTAGTGAAGGGTTATTCACAAAGAAAAGGTGAAGATTATGAACAAACATTCAGTCCATTAGCTAAAGGTGGTACGATAAGAGCCGTTATAAGTATAGCTGCTAGTAAAAACATGTCACTTACACAATTCGATGTCTGTACTGCATTTCTGTACGGTACTCTAGACGAAGAAGTATACATGAAACAACCAGAAGGCTATAATGATGGTAGTGGTATGGTTTGTCATCTCCAGAGAAGTTTATATGGATTAAAACAGGCACCAAGGTGTTGGAATAAGCGTTTTGGAAACTTTATAGATTCGCTTTACTTTAAACGAAGTACTGCAGATCCATGTTTATTTATTAAAATCGAAGGAAAAGACATGTTAATATTAGTGCTGTATGTTGACGATGGTCTAATAGCATGTACAAATGAAATAATGAAGATGAATTTTTTGAAAAAGCTTCAGGAGAAGTTTAAAATAACAGTTAAACCAGCTACATATTTCTAAGGTTTGGAAATCGAAAGAAATCAAGACGACTCCATAAGTATTACTCAGTCAGCTTATACAAGAAAGGTGCTAGAACGTTTTGGCATGGAAAATAGCAGACCGGTCTCGACCCCGATTGTAAAAGAAGCTATCCAATTAGGGAAGGAAACTAGTGAAATAGAATCGAATAATTGTTTTCCATATCGCGAAGCTGTGGGTGCTCTTATGTACCTAACGACGGGTACACGTCCAGATATAGCTTATGCTGTTAGTGTTGTATCCAGGAAATTAGAAAATACAAGTCCAAACGACTATGTAAAAGTTAAGAGAATATTCCGCTATTTGAATGGGACAATAAATTATGGCTTAACTTATATGCGAAAGCCAGATATACAACCTAAGTTAACAAGCTATAGTGATGCTGATCATGGAGGTGATATAACAACCGGAAGATCGACATCTGGGGTATTGTGTCTTTATGCTGGAGCAGCTGTATCTTGGTTTAGTCAGAGACAAACATCAGTAGCCATATCCACAACAGAGGCAGAAATAGTAGCTGCAAGTGACGCTGCACGAGAAATAGTTTGGTTAAAAAGAATATTTACGGAATTAACCGGCGTTAGCTTGGTTCCGACACTACATGTCGACAATGAATCAGCCATACGATTAACGCAGAATCCCGAGTTTCATCGCCGGACTAAACATATACATATTAGACATTTTTTTGTTAGAGAAATGGTATTGGATGGATCACTTGAAGTAGTAAAGGTGTCATCTGAAAATCAGTTAGCGGATGTTTTGACGAAGCCGCTGTTTTCAAATGGAATGAAAAAATTACTTTTTGAAATCGGGTTGGAAAATTACTCAATGAGGGAAGGTGTTAAAGCAGAATGAAGAAGGCATCTACGTAATTTACCATCCTATGTTGTAAATAAGTTAATGAGTTAAGTTTTGTAGTTTAGACAATGATATATGTCAATTTTGATGGAAATAAAATAACAATAAGTCACAGTCATTATTTTATTACATGGAAGTTTTTTCTAGTTAGACGATCTAATATTATTAACAATATTAACAGGCACAAGCAAATGGAAAACCATCCACTGTTGTTGATTACAATAATCATAAAGCTTTTATTGACTTATCTAATCAGATGAAAGCGTATGCTACTTCTTTAAGACGAGGCGTGAAGTGAAATAGGAAATTAGCTGTCAAACTTCTTATTGGAACATCATTAGTCAATGCTTTTATACTACACCAACAGGTTGCAAACGACAAGATGACCATTACCAGAATTAACGAACTCATGTTGGAATTACTTCAAATACAAAATACTGAGCATTACCGTTGTTAATGAACCTCCATTAGGGCAGCATGTGTTAGAAGATCTTGGTCGAAATGGAAGACGCAGAGATGTTGAGTGCTATAAAAATCTGAGTGGAGCTGGTAGTCGAACACAAGCCCAAAAAAATTCGACATTCACAAAATTTACATGCAATATTTGACAAAAAAGTTATTGCTTATCTTGTTTCTTTGCAGTTAATCAGTGTACTAAATATATGTATTTTTTGCTTAAATTTTTGTATTTTTAATATGAATATTTTATTTTATCTTTGTAGTACAATTTCTTAATAAATAAATAATAAAATGTGTATTTCTTTGCGTAAGATTTATTTCTATAAATAATAAAATGCCTAACAAAACTGTTTTAATTTTATATAGTTTTACAGCCATGTGAAGCTACATGATACTTTCAATTATAGAGGCCAAATACATTTTTTTGTTCTTAGAGCCATTGTACACATGTTCCATAAGCAGTTCACAGCGTTGAATTGCATATGCGGTTTTACACAGCAGTAAAATATCTGGCAGTCCGAGGTGCATGACTGGCTTCACACGGCACAAAGTCAAATTTGCTGTGATGCTGCAATGACATCGCATGGCAGCGAAGTTGGTAAAATATTTAGCTGTCGACACAATGATGGTAAAAAACACCAACTTGTAGGGGAAATATTAAAAATGATCCTCAGTACCTGGCAGCAAAATTTCTACTTCGAACTTACATATACGAAAGTGGAAAACTCATAACATTATAAGCGACATATCCAAATATTGGGAATTAGCAAACATCGTGGACAAATACCCAAAAATCTGCATCGGACAAGTAGTATTATACTCTATAAACATGACATGAATTATAACCATAACCGCAACAACCTACCGTTGGTAATTTCATTACAAATCAGAAGAAACACCAAAAGATAAACTCATAACAATATTCCTGCAATAAAAATATTTGTATAATGTAAATGACGTATCGTCTATCTGTCAAATCTATGTGATTCTGTCATAACAGTCATTAAAAATATATTTAATACTTAAAAGGTATTTTTATACAATTCATTTTGTACTTACCAAGTAGTTAATAAGTATACACACACAATATATGCCACAAAAATCTTAATTCGTGTTAAAAACAACGTAAAATAAAATAAATATTGACGCCCAAGATAGTTTACAATTCTTCTATTTTTGATTTCTAACTTCAATTCAAACGTCTCGTTTTAAAAAATCAACAAAAGTTTATGTTTAGTTAATGAAAACAAGGCATTTTGACAGTGTCATTGTAGAAAATATTCAAGGCAAAATTTCCTGCGATACCTTATTAATAACTTAAATAAACTTATTGTTGCAGGTTCCTTTATATGAAAAAAGAAGAATAATCATGAATAACAGAAGTTCGTATTCATTAAATTTAATTAAAAACGTTACATTTGTAAACAATAATCGATAAAAAATATAAAATTTTAAAAATAATCATTTAAACCTTTGTTTTTATTGATTAGTTGTAAAGTAACTTTCAGCCACTTCCAGTAAAAGGCAAAATTTGACCAATAGAAACCATAGGCATTAAGATTAATACCTAGACCTAAGATTAATACTATTACAGAAATTAACTAAATTCCGGAAATTTCTACTTCCTCGTGAAAAGTTTTTCAGAACACCTCGAATATAAGGTCTACCCAAAATTCACAAACCGGATATTCCTCTTCGTCCTATTGTCAGTGCATACAACTTCCCTACACAACCATTGACCAAGTACTTGGCCAAAACTCTACAACCCCTCATCGAAAATGCTTCATCCTTCGTCAAAAATTCTTTTCATTTCATCGAACTTCTTAAACAATACTCTATCTCACCGTCAGACATTCTATTAAGTTTCGATATCGTTTTACAAACATTCCTATAGACGAAACTCTAAACATTCTGAAAACTAAATACCGTATACAGCAAGACCACTTATTTCTCATTAAACATTGTATGTCCAACACTTATTTTATCTTCTAAAATTATTTCTACGGGCAAATAAATGGTGCCCTAATGGGCTCCCCACTATCTGCAGTAATTGCCAATATCTTTATGGAAGACTTCGAGACCCGAGCACTATCAACATCAATGCTCAAACCCACATGTTGGCTACGATATGTTGACGATACATTCGTCATTTAACCCCATGGCAGTGATGCTTTGGTTTCTTTTCAAACCCATCTGAATGATACACATCCTAGTATTCAGCTAAGGATGGAGGTGGAAACTGATTCATCCCTACCGTTTCTCGACGTTATCTTAGGGTCACATAGGGTCTAAATATAACGTTATCTTAAAAAAACTAATCTCAAAGTTTTCATCACTCTATCGAAATCGTTACTTGCATGCCAATTATCATCATCCCCCTTCACAAATTAATTCAGTCATTAACACGCTTGTCTCCAGATCAATACTCCTTTGAGATGATGCAAGTAGATTTGATTAGATAGTTTAAAACGAGCCCTCATCCAAAACAGTTACCGTGAAAATTCCATTAATGGGTACATCCTCAGACATCAATCTTGCACTCATTCTCAACCCAAAGACTCAGACTCTCATCATACTAAAGTTTTTCTTCCTTACATCAAAGGTGTCACTGATAAAAGCAACAAAATTTTAAAATTAAGAGGAATAAAGACAATATTCATCCCCAACAAAAACTTTCATCTCTTGTCCGGTCAATCAAAGACAACATTCTAAATAAACAACACGGAGTTTATACAATTTCCTGTGCAGACTGATCCTGATCCTATATAGGCCAAACAAATCGTAGAATCCAAAATAGGATTTATGAACATTCTATTTCTATTCGCAATTCCGACTCAATTTCAGCTCTAGTTCAACACCATCTTCATACAGGTCAGAAAATTGATTTTGAAAACTTCAGAACCATAGCAAATTCTTTTATGGTAGGAGGATACCCGCTCTCATAAAAAAGTCGTAAAGCTCTTTCAACTAATTACGAGCTCCCATAAAGTTGGGCGTATTGTCCGAATAAATGTCCAAATGCATTATTCGAATAAATAATGTTTAGGGATACCTCTGCGTGAAATAAATCTTTTCAATGTTAGTAGGAATGCTTCAGTGCTGAGACTGCACACTAGCTCTATATAGACTGCCTTAGTAACAAGCCTTACAAATACTGCTATATAAGCCTTACAAATGAGTGTACGTCGCAGTTTTGAAATTTTTAATTGAAATGAGCCCCAGTTGTCGATGTCGACTTTTGTAAAAGGTCTAGAGACCTGAAACCGTTCTTTGGGTAGATCGACCAATATGTTATGAGCTGGCGTTGCGTTAAATCTATAACAGTTTTAACATTTGTATATGATCCTCTTGATTTCTCTCAGTCCATTAAGAGTCCAATAAGTTAGCCTAATGTTTGACAATGTATTTTGAGGGTCTGTGTGCAATAGGTGAATGTGTTTTCGTTCAAGCAACGATCTAACTACCTGACATTTTGTAGGAAGAAGAAGTGGAAATTTTTGATTATATGAAACATTTACGATGCAAAGTCGTCCACCAACTCTTATTAAATCAGATGCGTCTATAAATAGATTCAATTTTAAGATAACGTTATTTTTTACTGTTTTCTGATGTTTTAAGTCTTTAAATTCTGATTGAAAGAAAGTAGAATGATTTTAACTATTCTCTGCTCAGCTTCCATTAGTTGGGTAGCCGAAAGTATACCTATTTTAAGGTTGTAAATATACCTATTGCAATATAAAATTACTCTCTGTAACCGAGTGAAAGATGAGAATTTACGAAAAGTTGTATATAGGGTAGGTTTCGAATTATTTACAGCGTGTAGAATGCCTTTTATTTCAGGAACATCTGTTAAATCAATATTTGGAACGAATTCATTGAATTTAGTGGTTGTGTTTATTAGTTAATCCTACAAGGAAAGATCAAAGGTAGGAGAGGAGCCGGCCGCAAACAATTATCCTGGTTAAGGAATATTAAAGAATGGACAGGAATACACAATACAGACGAGCTGTGTCACGCCGCCAAGAACAGAATTCTAGTAATGAGATAGTCGCCTACGCACTTTGGTGTATGGCATGTTAAGAAGAAGAAGAAGTTTATTAGAAAATGGGCTCATGCCACCATAATGTATTGTCTATCAGCAGGGCTAGTGTTGTATCTCGAGACAGAATATCTGCATGGGTTATCTTTAGACTCTATGTGATTCCATAAATAAGTTCGCGTTAACTCCTGTATTTGAGTTATACGGTTTGCTACGAAGATTGACCAACGACAACGGTGAGAATTTATCCATGCGAGTAGAATTTGGAAGTCTATCCACAGCCTAACCGAAGCTATGGAAGAAACCTTTGGTGAAATAATAAGAACAATGTTTGAAATCACATAGGGTTTAAAGATAACCTAGCAGATATTCCGTCTCGCGGTACCACACCGGCCATGCTGATAGACGATACATTATGATGGCATGGGTCCTATTTTCTAATAAACACAACCATTAAATTCAATAAATTTGTTTCAAATATTAATTTAACAAATGCCCCTGGAATAAAAGGCACTCTACACGCTGTAAATAATTCGAAACCTACTCTATATTCGCAGTTTGCCGAGTCCATTTTAAGAACACATGCACTGACATATTTGTAGTACTCTCAATAATTAGATTTACTATTTTAACTACATTACAATAGTTCTAATTGATAATGTAATTTGTATATTACATCCATAAAATCTTTATCTTGAAGTGTAAAGTTCAATATAACTTGTTACTTTTTAAAAAATACTATCTGAACATATCTCACCATCAGGTGTCATTGTTATGTTCCTTTTTTTTATCGCAAATTAATAAACATATTGTAATTCAAATAGAAATAAATTATCTAACTACATTTTTATATCTAGTGATATGTCATTCAAATGTATTTGATACGATTGTATCAATTGACTACAGAATTTTTCCAAAATATATTTTATTATATTGTCATAAGTTTTATCATATTTTTTTATTTTAGAGTGTGGAAACGTTGTATGGAACATTACTATTTTTGCTGTTATTCTAGAATATTATAATAAAGCCAGTAACAAGTGAACGTAAATGTACAGTCTCTGAAGCACAATAGACCAGAGAAGTATACTCGGTTTGCTATTCCCAGTCCGAACTGTCTAGTGAATTTAGTAATTATTTTTTTGCGAAGTTAGTTACTTTTGACAGACTAAAAGTGTCTGGAAATTACTATACAACCAAGCACACGTACTCATAGCCAATATTAATAGTAAACAAACTAAATAGTAAATAAAATAGAACTTTGCGAATTGCCAACAATCAATATTTATTTGTCTGCACCATATAATAAATAATTATGTTAAATTATAACAACTAAAATTTATTTTTTAAATATATACTACCCAAAATTTGATGGGTTTAGTATACACTTCCGCTATTTAGAATAATTCTTCTTTTTTTCAAAGAAAGAAGTCTGCAATAGTAGTATACTTGAGCTATTAATACTGAGAAGTAGGAATTGTTGTGTTGTAGGTTTCCGACAATGAATCTGTCAAAATATGCCCGAGCTGAGCGAATGGAGTATAACGATTTTCCCAAGACACTCTTTGTCAAACGTATCTGACAACTGCTTTTGATAAATTTGGTGATAACAATATGTAATAAACAAAATATGCAGAAGATTAATATGTAATATAATATATATTATGATGTTATATGTTCGATTGAAAATTCAATTTCTAATTTAAATGCAAATTCACAACATCAAATAAGAACAAAGTGGTGTAATATTTTAACCAATTTTAAAAACAAAAATAAATATTCATTTAAAAATAAAGCATTACATAAAAAAATTCAAAACACGAAAGTTTCTTGAGGGAAAATCCTAATGTAGTTGTATTAAAACCTGATAAAACCGACAAAACCGTTATTATGGAATCGATTACGACAATAAAATAAATGATCTTTTAAAAGACGAAACCATATATCATAAACTTGAAAATGATCCTACCAATATTTTCCAAAAAAGAAATAACGCTCTTATTGACAAATGGGAAAAAATGGTTATAAAATACAGCAAAATCACTTCTACACAACGCTATTCCACCAAAAATTTAATGTTTACCTAAAACAGATAAGGAGAATGTACCTCTATGTCCCATCGTTTCCTGCAT